GGTTAATTAAACACAACTATGGATGTGAACAGTTTAAGGGTATGTGGTGTTTTAATCTAACTGATCATGCTACTTCTAAACAGTCACATATCCAAGCTTTCCATGAGTTAGCGTCAGGAATTAAACAGGATGTTTCTGGTAATTGGTGGGACTGGATCTTTGGGTGGTTACCTGGTATCTGGAGTTTGAGACAAATGTTTGAAGGATTAAAGGAGAACTATGGGGCTTTTCCCCATAGTTCTCCTAAGGGTGACGGGAGGACACAAACTACCGTAGTCTTCCCGTCACCCTACTGCATCTTCCAGTCACCCTACTGCTCACGTTTTACTGAGACGCCGCAGCCGGGACGGATCCCGACATCACTGTCGAGATCCACCCAGCTGCCTGATTGACAGCTGGCTCTGTCTATCTAGAGGCAGAGCCAGCTGTACCCGCCCCCTCCCCCGCCTGTTCTGCCAGTCAGCGCTGGAGGATCGGACAGGGGAGGGGGAATCCCTGCAGGGAGCCGTGAGTGACAGTCACGGCTCTCTGCAGGGATAGATTGAGAAGTGAGTGAATGACGGTATGTGTTCGCTCACTTCTCAATCTATTGAGCCGACCTGTGACAGTTTCATTGTCACAGGTCGGCTAGAACTATGAGGCGAGTGATTTCCACTCGCTTCATAGTTCTCCTTTAATTATAGCTGCTTGTTGCTTAATTGGGCTTTGCTGCTGTTTGCAATGTATCCCTAATCTATTAACAATGATTTTTAACTATCTCAACCACAGCAATCTTTTCCAATGATTCCCATTACTACATTCCGTCAGTATAAAGGGTATATTCTATAGTGTTATCCCATTGGGATAAAAGGAGGGATTGAAAGGATTAATCTCATTTGCTTGTTCCTGGCATATACATAGTTGATGTTTGATCCGGAGAAAAGTTTGTTTTCTACAGAAACCAGTTTTGAGCTGCTTCCAAAATGATAGGTCTGCATTCCTCAGTAAATTGTAATTTTTTTCTTATCTCTGTGTGTGAAACTTACGACTTTGAAACTTTTCTGTTAATTTCCTCTGAAGCTGTTCCATGGTCCACAATTATTCTAATTATTTTTGTACACGTGCATGACTTTTTCTTGACTTGCTCCACCATGGCCCCTTTGGCTTCACATATAATCTTTTGTTTTAACAATAAACCTTTGAATATAGAGTGAATACACTGTTTTGTGTGCTTCTGTATACCCAAGTACTTGTTTAAAACTGGCAGCAGGATCGAATCCTAGACAATCTAAAATTGGAACCCTAACACTGATGGTGGAGTGTTTTACGACAGGAGCGAATGTTTCATTGTAGTCTTCTCCAAATTTCTGGCAGTATCCTTTGGCAACTAATCTGGCCTTGTATTTTTGGATATTTCTTTCTGCATTAAGCCTCACCTTAAAAGTCCATTTGCTTCCTATAGCTCTGTGATCAGGAAGAAGCTCTGTGAGTGTTCAGGTTTTATTTTCTTGGAGTGATTTTATTTCTTCTGCTGCCTGAAGAATCATTGATTGGCTTTGCGTTTTGGTAATTTTTCTATGTGTTCACACGATGTTGGTCGAGTATGCTATTTGTCTTAGCAGTATATGACAGCTTGCAGGGTGTTATTCCATTTGTTGCCTGAGTGGATCTTCTAATTTCAGGTTGTTCAGCAGAATTTAACATGTAACCTGACTTATCCATTGCGAGTTCCACCTCTTGTTCTGTCTCCTGTGTGGCTTCACTTTGCTCAGCTTTCTTTGCTGGTTCACTGGTCAAATTCACTTCGGAACCATACTGCCCTGCCAAATGCTCATGACATGCAAATGCTGTATAGAAGCAAATGCCACATATACCCAACTTCCACAGACCACCCAAAGACAGATCACCCCATGGTGCTCATACACAGCGATGTGTGCGGACTAGGGATGTCCCGATACCACTTTTTCAAGACCAAGTACAAGTACTGTCCCTCCTGTAAACAATTTAAAAAATATTTAAAGGGCCGGTATCTGATCTATGCATCGGGGCATTTTCAGGAGTACAAGTACTCCTGAAAATGCCCTGTATCGGCCCCGATACCGGTACTAGCATCGGTATCGGGACATCCCTAGTGCGGACCAATGAAAACTCCCACACATCGCTGGGGTGGGTGGTTATCACGTACCTGGTCTGGGAGACTGGATGGATGAGGAGGCTTCCCTTGCACCTTGTGTCTTATAGCCTTTGTGGATGGTGACAGAGGCCAGTCAGACACCGAGGTTGTAAAACCGTGCAATCAGAAGGGTAATCCAGAAATCGTAGTCAAGGCAAGCCGAGGTCAGATGCAGTACCGAGGGAATATGAAGAAGAATTATCCAATAAACAGTCCGAGGTCAAAAAGGCAGGCAGCAATCGAGGAAGGTGGTTGAGGCAGGAATAGGTCAAAATCCAGGCAAACGGTGATATTCAAGACAAGGCAGGAAACAGGATACAATACACAAACAGGAGCTGAGAAGACAATCCAGCAACTAAGTGACATGCTGGTCCGGTTTATATAGGGAAGTGGGCCAATCATGTACATCACTTCCTGTGCGCCTTTTTCTTATGACTCGCGCCGTATGCGTGTCACTCTTTCCGTGTCAAAGACTTGCTGTGCACATGCACGTGTTTATCCTCCTAGCGGGACTTGGCGCATGCGCGGAACGGGCATGTTGCTTACTGTGGTCTTTCTTAGGGTGGTCTGTGGAAGTTGGGTATATGTGGCCTTTGCTTCCATACAGCATTTGCATATCATGAGCATTTGGCAGGGCAGTATGGTTATATCTTCTGATAAGCCTCTCTTTTTAATATATTTTATGGCTTCTGGGTTTCATTGCCGAGATGGATACATTTGTTGTGTGGATTATGAGTGGCTGTTTTGACTTGCTCACCTGTGGTGATGAGTCTGTACAGGTGTTTAAGATTGCACATTCACTCAACTGTAAGACCATTATTAGCAAGGGTTTTCACTGATAGAAGGCATCCTTCTTGGTCTGGAACACACAGTACATTTTTCACAAGGATACTCTGCTTGTCCCTTGACAGTGTGATGCAGTTCAAGAATCCTTGACCATTACCTTCTGCAGTAATACTCTTCCTGTTTGCTAGGAAAACTTTGTGCTTTGCACTGAAATCAATTTCTGTGAAGAATGTCTCATCACTAGTCACGTGGCTTGTTGCACCTGAGTCAATACACCATTAACATGGTATACTGTTCTGAGTCACTTTAAAGGTAGCGCTCCATGATGTGCCTGCAGTTTCCTTTGCTGCTGCCTTAGCTCGTTCTCTTGTAGGTGCCTCTCGCTTTGGCTGCTCGGCTTTCCAGATTGAACAGTCCTTTTTCAGGTGACCAGTGTTTTTACAACGAAAACATGCTCTGCTTTCTTTGTTTTGTGGTCTCATGCACCTTAAAGGCTTTCTCCTTTTCTTCATTGAGCACATTTTCTTTCCTCTGTAATATACATCGACTAATTTTCCTTTGGCATATTCTAGCATCAGGTCTGGTTTTTAGATAATTAATAAGAGCACTGCATAGCGGTAATGCCACCACGTGGTTATCTTTAATTTCCCCTCCAATTGTACATAGTAGTTCTATGATTTCCAGCATGCTGTTCACACATTTCCTGGCCTTTTGCTAGCCTCATTTTATATAGCTTGCATAGCAGATATAGTTTACTATTTAGGTTTGATCGCCGATGCAGTTTTTGTAATGCAGTCCACATACCTTTAGCTGTTGTGGGGGCAGAGAACGGTGGGGTATTATTTTATATGGGGGGAGGCAGAGAACAGGGGGGAGGGTATTTATTTTATATGTGGGGATGTGGAGGGCCGCAATGTTTACATTGCTTTATCTTAATATTGTTGTTGTTAATATTTATTTTTGTAACTTTATTCTGCCTTCAACATTTAAAAGTGTAATTTCATAAGATAATTTAAGAGGGTGGGTTTAGGGGCGGAGTTAAGGCCGAGGCAGGGTTGGGGTTAGGTGGGGCAACTGGTGGCGAGTAACTCTTAAGGCCTGGCTAGTAGCTCAGGACTTGAAATTTTGAGCCCTGATATAGACAATAAAAGTCCTATGTCTCATAGATAAGCATGCACATAGAAAACAAACTTTGTTCTACAGCACCATCTACACCTCAAGAGACAAATTATCAGTGTGCATCAAAATGCCAGTAATACATTCAGTACATAGCAACATATGCTGCTGTATTTCCAACAGTTCTGACTCGATTTTTACACAAATGTTGGTGAGAGCAACTGCTTTGATTTTTTAGGGCATATTCACCAAATGTGCAGCATGGTCCCTGGCCTATAGCAACCACTGAAACAGTTGGGGTGCTAAATTGAACAAGGTGTCAACAAGGAACCATTGTTCCTTCCTGGGAGTCTATTCTAAGTTTTTTTTTTTCCCCAAGAGAGGACATGTCTGACCTGGTAGGTAAAAAAAAAGTAGACATGTGCGATTCGTTTCGTTCTGAAACGAAATTCGGACGAAATTCTGGAGATTCGGATGTATCCGAATTCCAAATTACAGGTATTACGAATGCAAACAAATCCGAATTTCAGATTCGTTTTTTTGGACGAACTTTCATTTTTTGGATGAAATTTCGTTGCAGCAAAGTGACATTTGAGAGAAAAAACACTTTTTCCCCCCTCTTAAATGTCACTTTGCTGCAACGAATGAACAAAACAAATTTTCATACGGATTTCCGCTAACGAATTTCGTCCGAATCCGAATTCCGAAACGAATTGACTTTCAGACCCGAATTCCGAAAAACGAAATAAAGCAAAATCCGAATCAAAACAAAACAAAACTAAACAAATTTTTTGCTGGTGCACATGTCTAAAAATAAGTATTGTTTTTATTTTGTTTTTAGATATAGTTACAGAATGTTGTTCATTTCAAAAGCATGTAGCATTACATTATTTTATTCACTAATTAAAGTGTAGCAAAAATATAAGTATTCTTGTTCTAAAGTCACCTTTATAAAAGCATATCCAGCTCCATTATCAGTGATGGTAAGACCCAGAGCATCTTCTGTCTTGGTGATTTCCATCTCTTTTGTCTCTCCTCTAACATGTGCAAAGATAAAGTCTTCTAGACCGATCTGACCACCAAGAAGCTTCTGCATGTCCACTTTGTGTGTATTCAATGTGCAAAACAAGATCTGTACAAGAAAAAAAATTAAATCCTGAAACGGTAACAGATTTTATTCTCTTGATATTAAAGAAGAAATCTGCTAATGTTTTATTAGTTGGGCTACCCCTGCGCTGCAATGGTAAAGTTCTCCATTTTCTCCAGGGGATGGAGTAAAGCAGATATACTCACCTGATCCTCGACCCCGATGAGCTGCTGGACTGGTCCTGCAGCCTCTTCTCTCCTGAGCTTTGGAGGTCTAAGGACCACTGATGTAATCATGGCTAATTAGACATGAGGATGCTGACAGCCGAAACAGAGGGGGAGAAAGGTGAGAACTGAGGATTAGGTGAGTATATCTTCATTATTTCATCCCTTAGAGAATGTGCACTTTAAATACTTGGAGTTCTTTAAGCT